CAACACAATCAACCCTATTCTAGCCCTAATTGTTGAGTTCTAATTGCCCTAAACGCTTTGACTACATCAAAAATTTACATGCAAACAATGACTAATATGAAACTACACGATCAACAAACAAACGCCAACAAGATTTTGGATCTCTTGATTCAAGTATGGCTGAATTATCAAAACTCAACATTTTGATCAAGCTTGTCAGAAGTTTGTTCCATTTCTTACTAGTTATCTTCTTGACCCAATGGATATTTCCATAAGCCATTCACATACGTGTCATACATGGAAGCAACTACATGCATATCCTCATATCTACCTAGGTTTTTAGGAATTCCTTGCCAGGTCATGTTTTTTATGGCACCCATTCTTGATGGCTTCGGCTTACACGTGATCAAGTGTTACAACAAATTTCGGGGTCTATAATCATTTACTTTCTGTGATTACATAATTGTTTCAATAAAGGCAGTGACATGCTGTAGGATTGCTATTAATTAAGTGCTCCACCCCAACCTTTGCCAAGCATATATCAACCTACATGTACATAGGCAATAATTCTAACATCATTGTAGACATTATATAAAGAAAGGAAAATAAGAAATCAATAACCTCCATCTCAATGAGGTTTCCTATCATACTCTCAGCAGGCTTAGCAGCATCATCTAAAAACTTCCGTACAACTTCATTTACACGCCTTCTTAAAGATGGGAACCTCTGCAATCCATTTGACTCACAAGCCTGGCTGATCTGTTGGAGAAAATTTACTTTATTCATCATATCTGCATATTAAAATCATAATTTCATTATGTTAAAGATCCCAGCACCACAAGCAGCACTGTTCTGACCTTTATCAGTTCATCATGGACAATCCGTAGACATTGATGACAAGGGTCTGACAACTGAGCTATTTGTCTTCTAACCAAAACTTCAAATGGAACCTGAAACCCAATGAAAAACACACTTTTTAAGATCCACTGATTTCAACAATTGGAAAGTAATAGGGAAGAGAGAGAACATGTGTAATCACTAATCACTATTGTACTCACCTCTGGCACAAAAAGAACATTTCTTAGACCAGAGGAATTCCTAATGGCATATGCAATATCCTCGTCAGTCAGACCATTACAAGGGTCCATTTCCTACAAAATGCAGTTAGTCACCTGGTCCTTCAAAGGGAAAATTTCACAAAAAACATAACAATAGAGAATCAATCACATCAAAACTTCAGAAGAATGAACATATCAAAATCAATCATCACCTCTAAGGGCTTGACAAACATTGACTGAAAAAAGTAGTGGATCCTGGCTCCCCCACACAACTCTTTAGTTGACATGTCTTCACTTTTTCCATCAACCATAGCAGAAAAATCTTTCCAATAATGAGAACACATAAGTAACTTGCAACAACAGAAAATTTTTTGAAAGAGAAAAGTAATATATAATGAAATTTAACAAACGAAGCCAGCTAAAACTAAACGACGCACAATATCCAATCTTGTATGCAATTATTGGTAAGGTATAAAGAAATAGTTGCAACAGAGAAACGTTGGGTAACAATTACCACAAACCCCATCCCCCCCCCCAAC